ATCTTCAACTGTGGTGTAAATTTCCGACTCCTAGCTGATCATGGTCGTGAGCTATTAATTAATTATTATTAATGGCATTTTCATTAATTAACTCATATCTCCGTCAAAAAGGCACATGGGCCCAAACTAACTTGGGGTTTTTCACTACTGACTATTCCCTACATGATGAAAATAGTCTGAGTCTAAAAGCTTTTAATCACCTCGAGAGGTTTCCTCGTAAGTTACATATGGTATGAATCGATAGCTGTTTCTCTACATCATGTTCGAAAAAGACACACGAAAGAATATAATAGGATATACTAATATAATATTATCACATATTGTATGATAATTACGATGACCGTTTAAGTGCCGTTTTTAGACCGTTTTCGTAACGTAGCTTACGAGCTGTTTTTACACCGTAAATTAACGGTACCCGTAAATGGCGTGTGTTAAATCACATCTACAATAAATATTACAGTGAAAGGGCTAGTTGAAACGGTGCGTCCCTGTTTACTACAACAGCGTCATCTACAAGTTTCGATTGCGCGTATCGCACACAAGGACCAATCTTCTTTGAATGAACGCATTCGACTTTTCGCTTTTTATGATCTTGACCGCTTGTTTTCAAAACGAGGTGATTCACCTCAACTTTTGTTTGTAAGGTATTATGTCTGCATTGTTGAATACATAATCTTCACATCTATAGAGAAAATAAATAAATAAAAAGAAAGAAAGGATATCTAAATAAAATGCAAAAATATTTCGCATATTTGTCTGCAATGTTGGAAAATACACTGTCTAAATCTTTGACTATCAACTCTATTATCAAATGGGTTTAGTAACTAGCAGAAATACATAGAAAAAGCATTTTTTTAACGGCGATAAATAACGAGACTACATTTTAGATTGTTTCTAAAACAAAGCTCTTGACGATTCAAAATGAAGAGAGAGAAACATATTAAATGCAGTAACATTTTGAATATAATATGATAGAATCAAACGAGAATGACCTATGCATTTTTTTCAATCATTTTCGCTTTCAGTGATATAAAATTGCGTTTCAACAATATTTTGCACTGATTACTATTACATATGCTCTTTCTGTTTATTCATCGTTAATCGTGAATTTTTATTTTTAGATGTAAACAAACCAATCTTATTGATTCTCAAAACGTTGCTCAATAGGAATTTGTATTATTCTTCGTGCAACTCAACCCAATAACTCCTTTCACTTTTTCATTTGGATTTCAAGAGTGATTTAATAAAATGTACTCGGTAATTAAAACAGTACCATGTTGCCGAAAAATATTTATGCTATTCAATTAATCCATGATGAAATTCAGAGAAATCAATATGCCTGATTATCGTCAAAATCCCGGTGTTGTTTAAATCAATCAAATTCACCTATCGATAAACAAATTTTTAAATGATCTTGTCTAACTAATATCACCCTGTATTAGAATAACCTCAACTTGAAAAGCTCAATTGTCAACATGTACAGTTAGTGTGGCCAGTAGAATACAGTCGAGCAAATTTTTGTCAAATGTTTAACCATACGTTTTTTACAGCAACCAAAAGATGAGAACAGTTTTCTGCTAGACTGGAAAAATGAGAAATGATCGTATACTTTCTTTTTTGCATGGTCCCTTGTCATCTTTCATTCTTTATAACAACAGCACAAACTTGGTCAATTTATTGCAAGTGCTCATGCATGCGTTAAATAAATGTGTGAATATTCCAAGGATTTCATAGTTCAATATTGATAATTGAACGTAAGGTATGCCACAAAACGGTAAATTATTAAATTATTTTCAATGAATGATTTTGCGTTTCGTATGACAAGTAATTTTGATATTTATTTGGCTACAAGGCTGTACTTTTGTATTAAGAAACTGAATAATTTAATTATTTACACTATCTTAGGAAATTCTTGTTTTTTAGTTTTATATTTTATTTGAGCCATTTCGATCATCTGGAGAAATAATATTAACAAATCGCTTCTAATTTTGTTTTATAATTTTAGTGCATATGATCTTTAACTTTTTTGTTTTAGTTAACAAACGATATTTTCATACAATACATTCGCATCATGTAAATTTCACAATACAAATTGAAAAACAGTGATTATGGATCGAAATCTTGTACTATGACGTATTCAGAATACTAATGGTTACTATGATACGGTTGTATTATATACACGATAAGGACCATTCCACGTAATTCGATCGAAAAAGAAAATCCGTAACGTTTTGTGCTGTTTTCTCATTCTTATATCTTTCGAATAAAAAGACGTGCGAAACTCGTGATTGTCTCATTTTGTGATTAAAACTGTACTTAACAAAACAACAGATCCTACAACTCTCTAGGATTCTTCGTTATGGGGATATTTGCGAAAAATTTCAACACCACTCTTAGAAAGTTTTCTTGTTTTAAAGTCTACTTTAAAAGTCTACGTTTTGTTGATCTTTTTTACTTCCATAACCGGGAAATTTATTCGAAAGATATAAGAATGAGAAAACAGCGCAAAACATTCGAAATTTCGTTTTTGATCGAATTAAGTGGAATGGCCCATAGCATTTTTTTATGGTTACTTTTGTTGGGCATATAGTTTAAATGGCTCTGTTTGTTTGTTTCAAGAAGAAATTGTTTCCATATGAGAACGAACAGCAAAGATAAATTATATAACCGTCATTTATCCGACGTTTGTATTTTCAGATTTTTAATTAAATGGCAAATTATATTTCCAATGACGTTGATTTTCTACCATCGAATACCACTAATAATACGAAAATTGTCGATGTTGACGATCGTTTCTTGGATATGTCTCAACATTTATATTATCAATATCATCATAGTGGTTCTCGAATGATTCCCTCCACAATCTCTAGCTCAACAACCACTTTGTCGTCGTCTACAGGCGGAGGTACTTATACTCGTAAAAATAAACTTCGTACACGATTACATCATCTTATTAACGGTGATAAAATTCAAAAACGTTCGTTAAGTACCGGTAGTAGCTCAAATTTATCAGTTCCTACACCATCGTTAGCAACAAAATTCCCCCTACCAACACATCAAGATAATAATAATAGGATAAATCATAAAACTGCTCCGACTAATGTAGGTCTGACATCTCCACTTGTAGCACAAACACCTGTAAATTCAAGAAAAGTTGAACAACAAGAATCGGTACATTTAGTTTCAACATTTCAACCATCTGCAGTATACTATCAACATCAAAAAAACCTTCAGGTACAAAATTCATATAATGGAAGCGATAGAAACAGTGATCATGACGACGATGAAGAAGAAGAAGAAGAAGTAACAATAACAAGATTATAAAACAGCGAATTAATGTGAATGTGTTTTCCGTCCATCTGTCGTGAACGAAACCCCTCTGATTGCGCTTTAGAAAACTTTTATATTGTGATACAACTTTTGTGAAGAATCTTGAATATTTTACAACATTCTATAAATTATTAGTTTCAAAGATGATTAGATAAGCTGTGAGAAACAAAATCTAATCATGAAATAAATTCAATGGTCTGAGAAGTTGCCAACAAAAATTGAATTGTGTAGCTTCTATCGTATTTGTCGAATTACCAGTTATTTAGTGAAGTAATTAATTACTGCAATATCAATTCAATCTGACTAGGCATAATTTTTGGAAGTCATTTAAGACATAGTCGTATTTACAAGTGATCTGATTGTGAGCGACTATCAAGTGTTAAAATGAAAGTTTACTTCGTTTGTCTAGGTTTTAAATTAGCAAAATTTAGTTCCCATTCGCAACAGAATGTTCAGAAATAGATTACCTGCAAATCTCAGCGTAGAATAATAACTGATAGCGCTCAGATATGCCATGTCACAATTGAAGGAAACTTTTTTTGTTTTGATTGATTAATTCATTAGTATGCTTAAAGAAACGTTCTTGCATTTTTTTTTAAATACATTTATTTATTTTTGTGTTGCTGTACGAACAAAATATGTTCAGTGTTTTATTGAAACAGTGTATATTTCTTTTTTTCTGTCTCTTGTTGTTTTTGCAATAATTTCAGCGTGATGGTGCTTGATTCAATTCATTCCGTTTTTTGCGAAGAAACTATGTATATATTATATTCCAATTATGAGTCATTTTTCTTTATCTTGTACATGTAAATATATGTTATATGAATTAATCTTTTCTCAAATTATGCAAGTTTTTTGTTTGTTGGCAAATACCACTGTCTTTCTTTTATTTCGTTTTTTATTATAGTTATGAATTTGATTCCAAAGAAATTATATATAGTACATCATTGAATGCGTTTAGCACAAATTATTCAATCAAAATAAGAGTGACTGAAGTATTTTTCCTGATAACAACTTTATACGTTGGTAAAAACTTGTTTGTTAATTTCAATAACTTTTGAACATAGATAACTTTTAGTTCAGGCAAAACTTGTGATGGATTTCTAGAAATCCTAAATTTCAACAGAGATTAAAAGGAGTTTTTGAAGCGTATGTAATTCAGCTATAATCAAATGTTTTTAAGGAAAAATCGAAGTGAAATGTGGAAAGTTTCTCTGATAAGAAATTTATTTTTTCCTAAATGATTTTCTGCTAAACTCGAAGTTTAAGACTCTCTAACTGAATGCTTCATGAGATATAAGGATTGCATTTTTGTCGGCAGAATGCTAATAACTCATGATCCAAAGTAGATAAACATTATTTTTACTTATTTAATATATCGATGACTCTTCTCTATTTAATGATTATTGAAAAACACTTATTTCATGATGACCGGCTGCTGTTGAAATACGAGATTATTTTCGAAAATAATTCACATTCAGCGTAAAAGTGTTTGTTATTTTGACTTTGAAATTTCATCACATACTCTGCAAGACTTACAGATTATTCATCTAAAGTTTAAAGATTAACCATGCATGATTTGGAAAATGCATAAGCAGTAATGTGTCATACACGAAAAGACAAGCTTGAGGTACTAAAGAGTGTCTTACTCATCATAGAATCTGCATTTAATGTACATCATCATGCCAAAGTATGACGACAGCAACAAAAAAATTAAGTGAAACTAAGTCAGAAATTTTTTGTCCATTACCTTCATCTTCACCCTAATTTAGTTCCATTTTGTAAAACTGCTGTAACTCTTTGAGACAGCCAATTATATCTGGAGTTTCCAGATTCTTGGCTATTCTTCCACTTCTGCTTTTCTTTAATAAAAAAAACGAAGTATAAACGATAATCCCGTTAGAGTACAACGTTTATAAAGTTTTGTGTTTTGATCATTTACGCAACTTTTCTTTAAGGATCTTATTCTGATTGCTCTTGTAGATGGATACACATATCCTGTATGACTCACATTCAGGTTCACCAAAGCTTCGATTTGATGATCTCGTCGTTCTGATCTCAGTTCCTACACAGTATTTTTTAAATCTGCTATGTTCTGCAAGAACTCCTTTTATTGTTCAAAATTCGAGAGTGATCTGATTTGAGAAGATTTGAAGTTAGCGAACATCTACAAAGGTATGCCTATTTTTGTTATCACGATTCTCTTGTCAACACCAACAAAGTCCTCATCTATTAATTTTTCATATTATCAAGTTACACCTCATCTCAATTCCTCCTCTTATTCTACCCACTATTCTTTAACAGGCTGTCTATGTCTCTGTTTGACTTGTGTCGATTGTCAACAAATCGCTTATTTGGTTAATTCATCCCAAAATGAATGTCAAATATCTATTTCAAGTACCAAACCAGATATTGATTCTTATTCAACAAATGATAATGAAACAGGTGTATATGTTCTACAAAATTCATCAACTTCACCACAGTGTATTCAAACCAATACAATTTCATTGGTGTATAATTCAACGTCATCTACAAATGCCACACAATTAGGCTCTGGTGTTCAAATTTCCTATACTGATTTTGGTTCAAGCTCATCTGATCAAATATACGCAATTGATAATGTAAAGGCAAATATATTTAAATTAGATAGTTCAACTTTACAAGTTATTCAAAATGGAACTTATTCTGCGACATGTACTACCAGTCTTGCTGCTAAATTATATGCTTCGTTAATTTACATTAGCTGTCCAAATCAAATTCTTCTGGTTCATTCTCAAACTAATCTATCTTATATACAAAATTATTCACTAATAGCTGCTGCACAGGGTTTTACATTTGTTAATTCAACATTTATCTATTATATAGGAGCTGTCGGTGATATTTATACATTGGATATGAATATAAATACGAGTCAACAAAAAACAAAAATTAGTGATTCGTTTAACGCACCTTCAAACGTGATTTTGTTCAAATATAACTACTTATTTTTAGCTAGTTCTACAACTAAACTCTATCGTTACTCAATTGATACTAATACGACTGACTTGAGTCAAACTCTTTCAACCACCGCATATCACATTGGCATTTCATTCGATAAATGCAATAATTTGTGGGCAATTTTTAATCGTCAGATTCTTATATATGATCAACAATTTAATTGGCTAACAAGTGTATCATATAAACAAGGAGCAGTACTCGAAAATTCACCATTTAATGTTAATGTAGATAGTAATTATAATTTCTATACATCAGACCTTAATAATGGTGTCACGCGTTATCAACGTACTCAGCAATGTTAAATATCCTCTTACTCCTTTTATGCGTTTATCACACAATAAATATCTTATTTATGCGTACTTGTAAAACTTCTCTTAAATGAATAGATGCCTGTGTCATTCCAAATACGATCTAGTTCACATTTTCTCTTTAAACGTTCAGTCTTCAATACACATATATTTCCAAAAAGAAATCGTGGAACTATAAGAATAATTGTGCTTAAGAGTTCTAACAACAATGCGAAATTTTTGGCTAAATGAGCAAGGTTGTTAGAATGTTTCACTTTTAATTAGTTATTGTGTGTGGGATAAAGTCAAAAATTCTAATAAAGCGTGCAAACTGATGCTTGATACAAAAAACTGCTCGTTAGTTTTCTAACATTTTGAAGTTTTCATTAAATCAATCTGACATAAGATTTAACCCCTAGATGAGTTTCAGCATAGATTTTATTGAAGTGCTTTTACTGTTTTATTGAGATGATTGTTATGCATAAGAATTGTTCAATTGATTTAATGAAGAATCTGTTCCAATGAGATTGAATCCCGTTGAGTCGCCACTAGTTCATCTCTTTATTCTCTGAGAAAAATTCTCCTAAAGGAAAACGACAGACTAACCATTAATTGTACGGAAATTGTAGGGATTAATAAACATACTTCAATATTCAAGGATTGAGATATCAATGCGTCATTGGATACGAGATCCAAATATCTGGAGATTTAAGGGTACTCCCCCTCTTTTTTCACCTTGTTGCCAAATGCGGAGCACACGTCCGTTTGAGCTCAAATTTATAGCAGAGATAGAACGTGGAAAAAGAAAATTGATATTTTTGCCCAGAATTTTCTAAGATGTTCTTCTATGAGTTTTCTGGAAAACTCCAGTTTTCATCGTGTCACATTACGACCCCTCGAAAAAATGGTCCGATCGAGCTCAAATTTTTACTACAGATACTTCAGACCCTATCTCAGGATGAAAATTTTTTTTTCCGAAAAATATACTTTCCTTCTTGAGATATACGAAAAGTGCTGAAAGCCAGTGAAAAAAACTGAAAAAATCTGACTTTGTTTGCGTGATTTTCAACATTTTTCGTATATCACAAGAAGGAGAGCATATTTTTCGGAAAACAATTTACTGAGATAGGGTCTGAAGTATCCGTAGTAAAAATTTGAGCTCGAACGGACCAATTTTTCGAGGCGTCGTAATCCAGAAAACTCATAGAAGGAC